AAAAATATATTGTTGAGGAAGAATTTAATGGTCTCACAGCCTAAAGGAAGAATCAGAATCAGAATCAGAATCAGAAATACTTATATAATCTTAGGGGGAAATTACTTTTGTTACAAACTTCAGATATGCATATAACATATATACATACAACATAAATATATTAAGAACATATATATATATATAAATATATATATAAGGTAAAATGTACAGTTTAAAATGTGCAAAAAGTGCAAAAATGATTGTCCGTGTTTGATGTATAGTACCACTCTAATAGCAGTTGAACATTCACAGTATTTGTGGAAACAGGAGCAGAATTGTCATGCTACTTGTACTGGCTGACATAATAAATTGTACTGTCAGGGACCACGCACTTGTCACTGTGCTAAAGATGCTACAATCTATTCATATGCATGTATATTCAACAGATGGCTGCCTACACCTTCACCAGACCAACAACAACAGGGATTCAGTACTGAAGAGCAGGAACTATAGTGTGTAAGGAATTGGTCATTCCATAGTTGGAGGAAAAAGGGATTAATAAAGTGAAAGATACATGGTAAAAAATATCCCATCAAGTATGTATTTTCACACATCAAAATCACCACTTCTTGGCATGCCTTTCAAATATGCTCATGTTCTGTCTCGTTCCCCTGCTGACTCAGCTGTCAATCAAACACGTCCATCATCCTATCCCCTCAGAGACACTAAAGGATCTTTTTTTATCAATAACACATAAAAACTTTGACTGCAAAAAGCAAAGAGTAATTTCAGTTGGACCTATTGGAAAACATATTGTTGTCAGTATCAGGTGATATAGGAGGGATCCATCCATCCAGTGTGTATCTACATCCCTAACAAACACCTACTACTTACAGTAATGTAACGGTTGTAATCACAAATAATAGAAGCAGCAGCAGTAATGGTGTCTAATTCAAACCCCCATCTAACACAAGAGATTTATTTGAAAATCCTCTTTGAACAAGGTCAGCTAATAAGTCTTCACCACATATGACTCTAACTGAATTAATTTCTTTATTCTGTCTTCACCCTCCTTCTGTCTTACTCTTATTTCTAATTTTAATGTAGTCCCTGTCATTAGGCATGTCCCACATATGTCTACCTGTCTACTTTTTTGGTGCTGTTTTTTTTTTCTTGTTGTTGACACAACTGGGTTGGTGTCAACTTACATTTATTCTGTCAGTCTGTCCACGTGTCGGTGAGTCCCGTGGCCTTTGATAGAAGATGATCAAGCAAGTTATTTTGGTCTTGATTAGCGTTTGGAGGAATCACTTTCATCACTAGTTTGTAAGGTGTGAGTGTGAGTGCAGTTTTTATGGTTCAGCCGTGCGAGCATATGGAAATCTCCCCTGAGACTCGCGTGTGTTGCTGCCGTGTATGTGTGTACAAGTGTGTCACTGCCTTTGTGTCTGTATTTGTAGGTGTGTCTGCATGTTGTTTGCATGCATGTACATAACGCTGTTTAAGTATGCAGACAGATTGTACCTGAACATTTTGCACAAACAAGTTATAGCCAGTTAATCAATCAGCAGTTATTGGTTAGGCTACAGAATAATCACCTTATTAACACCATCACAGATTTAGTTAACATCTCATTGTTTGTTTAAATAAAAGTGCTCTATTTCTGGACAAGTAAATTAGAAGTTGAAACGTCACTTTCACCACCTGGATATTTTAGTGCTTTCCAAAATAAGCGTGTAATCAACCTGCCAAAGTACTAGAGCATACCGTGTAAGTATGACACTTTGCTGTGAACAGTACACAGTTGTATTAAGGTGCAGTATAAAAAGCAACAAAGTCCAAGTATAGAGGAGGATAGAGTGGATAAATGGGCCAAACAAACACAGGACTGCAATTTGAGTCCCATGTGAAACCAAAAGTTGACATTACACGTCTGCCATGTTGAACTGCCATGTTTTTTTGCGGCCACTGTAGTTTCTCCAAACCACTTCACAGCATGTTCTCATTTCCAGGTCGTCAAATACATATGCGAGTGGTGTTCATTGCATTGCAGTTAATCGTACACACTGGTCCTTCAAGAAACACCTAAATACAAATAACATGAACATGAGTTCGTGAAGGTCAAACTGAAATCACAATCAGTCCTCCCTTTCGGTAGTCAGTTAAATGTTTTTTTAATTATAAATTGTTGCTTAATATTTAAAGGTCCAGTGTGTAGGATTTAGTGGCATAGGGGAATCTTGCAGTGTAGTTGCAGACTACAACGCACTCGCCTACGGAAACTACGGTGGCCACAATAGTCACAAAGACGCAAAAGCTCCTATCCAGTGTATGGTGTGTTGACTCTGGGCTACTGTAGAAACATGGCTGACTCCATAAAAGAGGACCCACTCCCTCTGACGATAAAAGTGGCTCATTCAATGTAACGAAAACACATTATTTTCACGTGATTATACGCTAATTACATTTTATTCCATTTCTGCTCCTCCTCAATCTTACACAATACACCTTTAAAAAGAGTGTTTAGGGAAATGAATATATAATGTTTAATTGATAGCAGCTGACAGGCTGAGCCCCAGCAGGGGAAAGGAGACTGAGTGGTGTACAATATAATCAACATATATAGAGCATTATATGTGTAAACAGCTCTTTTATTTCAGTGTCTGAATTCGGAGTGTGTAAATTTGGCCACTATATAGTGCCTTCAAAAATTAGTAGTGTACGTGCATGAACACTTTGGTTGAAAATCCCACAATGCAAGGCATAAAATGACCTTTATAAGACTCTACACCTGTCTATTATATAGGAAATAATGAATGATACAGGGAGACACAGCAGAAGTAAACAAAGTTGCTTAAAAATGAAATGATTTAATTCCTCAGTATATGTACACAGAGGACGAGCATCCCCACTGGTTAATGCAAAAATAGGCAACAAAATCACAATAAACGTTTAATTTCAGTTAAATTAGTGACCCAACTCAAAACCTCTTCAAACACAAATTCACAGTTACAAAGACATCATGGAGTCAACTTAAAACTAGTAGTTTCTTCATTTTTCAGCACTTTTTGGCAGCTGACATCACATGACAAAAATAAAAATAAACTTGTAAAACCAGCAGTTACATTTTTTTTTGCTGTAGGGATCACCAACTTTTAAAAATATCTTCTGTGCTGGTTACTTATCTCACACATTGGCTATTATGATTTATTATAAAACATTTTGCAGGCAGTAATTATACATGTTGCTGAGTGTATCATTTCACAACTGGGAGTTATTTTGCAAACTCACGCAATCGCCGCCACACTGTCAGACCACGGGAGAGATCTCTGAGTGCATCCTGGGAAAGCTCTCATTTCTGGTTGTGTGTCACCCAAATCGGCTTGTTTACATGCCTTAATGGTTAGTAGCAAACAGCCTGTGGTGGGACACCCCGTGTGTGTGTGTAAAAGGGAATACCACGTTTAGCTGCAGAGCTGTTCCCAGCTGTAATTAACTCTAAAGATAAAGCAGGGCTTTCTCCTTCTGCCAGGTTCTAGGAGATTTCTCTGGATCATTTTGAAAATGTCAGCTTACAGATGATCCACCACAGCACATGCAGTATTTAACTTGAATATGTAGTTTATATAAACTTTTTACACATGGCATTTTAACCATGAATCATTTTCACCTTATTCCTTTGAGTTTGAGAGAACATTTTACAATAATCTAATTTCATCTGGCAGTGATTATTGTGATGAACTACTATTTTACTTTTAGTAAATATAATTATCAAATAAAAATCAATTGCTAACCAAAATTGAAATAAAATTTAAGTTAACTAATTAATAATTCACTTTCACTTTCCATTTCATGTATGTATTCACTTTTTCGTAACATAATTTTCAATCTTTGGTCTTGGGGAGAATATCAAGCTATTCCGAGTCCAAAGGCTTAAGTCCTTGTTTTTATTTAGTGTTCTCTGTCCAGCAACGTCTCACTTCCCTCTGGCCAATGCATTTCTAAGGAACTCTCCAGACTTGCCATTCTCCCTCCATCCACTAGATGCCCTCAGACCTTCACACCAGTCCCAGTCACCTGACTCCTACATTCACCTGCTCACCTGTTCCTCATTCCCCAGTTACTCCCTACAGTATTCATACCTCCACCTGCTCCTGGCCAGATCATCAGTGTTGCTTCTTGCCATTGGGTTCCAGTCTCTGTTTGGACTTGTCTTTGTATCATAATCTTACCATCACCACCAAAGTTACTGAACGGTTCTTGTATGCCAACATTTGGGTCCTTTTCTTGCAGCCTTTACACACCTGGTGACAAGTCGAATTGAAGTCAGAAGTAATTGGTGTAAAAGTCAAAGTTGAGAGTTCTGATTTTATCAAGTCAAGTTTGAAATTACCAGATTAAGTCATGTGACCAAACTGAGCCAAAATTTAAATCTGCTGGGGGGAAAAAAGTGTCAGAGAAACTGCTTTTTGTGCCTTAATTCTCCCTACAACATTTTATGGGTCATAGTTCTGAGTCTTCAGACTTTATACTCAGGTTCGGACTTCACCATCTGATGCACAGACTTTCTCTGGGATGAGGACTTTGCAGTGCTTTAGTAAGGATAAAGATTCCTTTTAGGCATATTCTCTATTTGAATTTTACTCAAATGGAAGTTTGATTTTACTTCCTTGAGAAAAGACTAAGAAGAGGCAGGTATTGAAGCAAAAATTAGTCTTGCACGGTCAAGCCATCACCAAAAGAAGACAGGTTGTGTAGTTGCCTGCAACTGTTGTAATTCTTGGACTGGAGCTGGGCTGTGTGAATGTTTGTTGAATTAAAGACAGATTCTGTTATTTAAAGGTGTGTAACATTTAGGAGGATCTATTGGCAGAAATGGAATATAATGTGCATAGGCATGTTTTCATTTGTGTATAATCACCTGAATAGGAATCATTATGTTTTTGTTACCTTAGAATGACCTTTGTAACTGCAGATGCCGCACATTGCCTCCCATGTTGAACCGCCATGTTTCTACAGTTGGTAACGTTCTTTTATCTGTAGGAGGAGTTTCCTCTTTCAAACCAAAGGGGAAGTAACTCCTCAAGAGAATATATTGTTGGAGTTCAAAGTTGGTTCAGTTCAGGTGCAGACCTGCTGTAAATCATGGGCGTAGGTTTTCTTTTTGTTTTTTGTTTTGTTTCTTTTTTCGTTTATTTTGTTAGGGTTTTTGTTTTGTTTTTGTATATATTTAAGTTAACCTCACCAAAACTAACCTGGGAGACGGGCACTCCGTTACAGTCTTAATGAATGCACGGAAGATATCTTTGACCTCTGGCTCCTTACACGGTATTAAAAAACAGCAATTATTTACCATTAGGCCATGCTTCGGTCACCTGCTGGACATTTAAATAGTTAGAACTGCAGCCATTTATTAAAACCAGTCAGTTGAGTGAGCAGTGTTGTTTAGTTGTCAAGTCTGCCTGTAAATAAAGGTAAGCAACTAATATTTATTGATAGAATTTAAGTTTCTAACGTGAGGGTTTACCATCATTTTGTTTTTGACCTTCTCAACTAAGCAATTTTCTTTCCTCTGCTACATGTTCCCTTAAAAATTAGATGCCCTAAGCTATGACTTAATTAGTAAATGTTGCCTTTCTGGAGCATTGATTAACATGATCACTGGGATATTTTTTTCTTCTTTTGCAGCATGACGTAACACATAGCCACAGATTGATTTTTGTGGTTAATCTTCTGATGGGCGGAAGCTGAACCTGACTGCAAAAGAGCAACTTGACATTAGCAACTGTTTTCACCAGTCCCCTGAATATCAATATGGTGCTCAGTTATAGCTCTCTCTAGGATACCCAAGATTCTAAAACCAGATTTTTACCAAACCACAGAAAGACTGGCTGAAAGCGGTTGAATAGAAATACGAGTCAATTAAATCAACAGGTGTTTTTCAATGGAAACAGACTCTCTGAGGCTATTGTTTGTTCTTCTTAGCAACCGTAACCAAGGAGTGCGGAGGAGAGCCGAGACTTGACAAAGGGTCAATTTGGCCTGAAAGTGGTTTAGTCTGTCCCCTGCCTGAGCGATCCAGCGTCTCCGCCAACGCTTTAAAATCTGCACGGATCCATTTTCCTCTGCACAGAAGAAGGTCTGAGAATATTTTCAGTTATTCTCCCTGCAGGAGGGAGAAATGTCACATCAAACACCAGAGTGAGATGTAGGCACTGATCACTTCCTTACTTACTGGGAAACACACATACTTAAGTGCATGTGTGTTATGTGCAGTTTGTGTGTTTGATGTGAGATAAAATTAGTGGTGTGTGTCTGTACTACAGCAACACACACACACAGCCATGGGTGGTCTATGTGTGTGTGCATGTGCCCATGAGTGTGTTTGATGGTCTGTGTGACTATGTGTGTGTGAGTGTTTGTGTCATGGAGGCATCTGTTCATTGGAATAAACAACTTTCCATTTTTTGCTGCCAGGAAAAAAAAAAGGTGGAATTAGCAAAAAAAAAACGTCCCCTCTGCATGCGCATGCGTGTGTGTCCAAATGGAAAGCGAAAATAGCTCAATTTGATTTCAAAGGCAGATGCCAGCAGGAGCAATTCTAAAATTAATTATTTTTAGTCTTTATAGAGGAGGGGAGAGGAGTTGAAATGAACTGAGAGAAAAGAGAGTAAAAAGAGGAGAGGAGGCAGTTTTTACTAAATTAAAAGGGCAAATGAGAAGAGAAAGAGGAGGTCAGAAGACAAGATGAGATGCAAAAACATTAAGGAGCAAAAAGGAAAATTGAGACTGAGAATATTTTAATACAAAAGGAAACACTAGAAGAAGAGGTGAGACAAGAGGGGAGGAAGGGAAGGGAGGACAAATCACATCATCTTCCTCTATAATTTCCAAAACAAGGGGAGAAGATTAAAGATAGAGACATGAAGGCAGAAGAGACATAAATGTTTCTTTCTAAATTAACAGGACGAAGCAGGACAGAGAAGGATAGGCCAGAGGACCAGGTGAGATAATAGAGGACAGAAGAGGAGAGGACAAACCCTGAAAATCTTCCTTTATAATTTCAACAATGAGAGGAAAGGGTGAAGGACAGGAGGACAGAAGATGCAGCAAGAGAAGAAACTAGAGAAAAGACAACAAAAAACATAAATGTGAAGACCAGAAAATGAGGTGAGGTTTGAAATAAGACGAGAAGAGGTTAGAAAAGAGCAGCACAGACAAAGGAGAGTAAAAAAAGGACGATGGAAACTGAACGATGCAAAACCGATGAGGTGTGGAGGTAAGGCTGAGTTGAAGAGAAAGGAGGGGACTTTTAATTACCAAGGCCAGACAGATGAGAGAGAAAAGGAAAATTTTTGGAGGCAGAGGAAACTCAAAAAACATTTGAAGAACAAGAAAACGAGAAGGACACTACAAAAGTGGGACCAGGATTAGGTGAAGAGGAGAGGGAGAACTAGAGGAACCTTTTTGTGTCATTGCTAAATGACAGAGAAGATGAGGTGAGATGAGCTAAAAGAGGACTTTGTGAAATAGAGGTGAGAATAAGATGGAAGTAGAGGAAAAGCTAAACTCCTTCTGCTATAATCTGAGGAAAGGGGAGACCAGAAGTTGAGGAGAAGGGCAGAAAAGATGGCAAAAGATGAGAAGTAGAGACGAGGGCCAAATCATCTCCTCTATAATTTCCAAAAGGAGGAGAGGGGGAAGGATGGAAGAAAAGAAGTGATGAAATGATGTAAACAAGACAAAAGGAGAAGGGAAAAAGCTAGAGAAAAGACAACGAAACCTCTTGATATTCGAACAACAATGGGGGAAAGAGAGGAAGAAAGAGAAGTGTGGAGACTTGGTATAGAGGTGAAAGGAGAGGATAAACTTAGTTCTAAATTAAAAGGACAAATGAAGGGATAAAGGGGCCGAAGAGGAGGAGACATGAGAAAAAGAGGAGGAGATGAGGACAGGCACAGAGAGATGGAAAAACCTAAAAAGCCTTCCTCCTTGATAATCTCCAAGACAGGAAGAGAAGAGGAGAAACTAATTAATTAAAAGAAAGGAAGGATGGACGAATGAAAACTTAATGTTTGAGGATGGGACATGCAGACAAGGCAATCTGAATGCGAGGTAAAATGCAAACCTTCCTTCAAAACAAGAGTAGACGATGGGAGAGAATAAAATAATGGAAATTCTTCTTGATATTAAGACAAAACTGGAAGGAATATTGTGGAAACGGGTGAGAAAGAAGGTGAGAGGAGGGGGAAAAAACAAAGAGGTCTTCCTTGTTATTATGAATAATAAGAATAGAGAAGAAATGATAACAGTAAAGTTGATGTAGTTACCTACTGACCCCTGTTGGCAGGCTGAGGTATTGCAGACAGCGATGTGGTCATTTGGAAGAAATGAGAAATGTTGTTTTCCTTCTGTTTCCTGGAAGGGCATCAAGAAACTTAGAGCCCATAAAACACGTGAGTCATGGGGACACTGGGATTTTAAAAAAAGACAAACATTATTTCATCAAAAGGACAAAACCACACCTCACACATGAAAGCAGAATTCAAAACATGATTGCTCACTTTCAAACCAGCCAAGAACTTCCAGGTAGCAGCTGGCAGCGGCCTCCCTGAAAAACTGCTGATGGTCTCTTCTTTTTTTTGTATTTCAGCTCTGGTTTGGATTACAGGAACAACAGGTGTAATTTGTGAATCACCAGTATGTCTGTATCTGTGTATATCTGTCCCATTTGTGTGTGTGTGAATCAGGTCCATGTCTAACAAGTACCAGATGTGGACACAGATAAGTTGTTTACTCTTGTATGTTTGCTGGTTGTTTACCGGAACGTCGCGTCCTGTTTGTGGTGGGGGTTAGAAGCCGGTGCAGAGCCACAGTGTGACCCCCCTCTGTGGAGATAATATTTGTTATTTAGCTGCTGCCATTTGTTTGAGTGAAACTTCATATGAGCAGTTAAATTTAAGTTATACATGTGGTTTAATGCGGTCAGTTGACCCCACATTTTTGCTGACCATTTTTAAAGGCAGGCGAAACCAGGTTGAAGGCGGGAGTATTTAAGCTGACATCACTGTCACTTTTCAAGCATTTTTCCCAATAAATATGCCCACAGATCCTGTAGAACTAGTTATATATTAAATAATATTAGATGCCATTAAAATAAAGGTAACAATCTGCAAAATTTTAACTTTTCAACTAAATGTAGTCAAGTATCTTTTGTATGTTGCCGAACAGCGCAACATATCCACATTTCTGGATCAAATACGTTATATAATCATCCTATTATTCTGTCCTTACATCAGCTCAATTAAAAAAGAAAAAAAATAAAGAAACACAGTTAGAGACATAGTGAAGCATTTAGTGTCTAACGAGCCAGCTATTTCCCCTTTGGAGGTAACAGAGGTAAAGTGGAGTGAATAGACAAAAAACATGACGCCTAATGAATGATAATGTTGCTCCATAACTGTTGATGTGTAAACAAGTTACTGTTTGCTAACAAGTTTTCTGTATCAACCTAAAAAGCAATGATATGTAAATGCTGTTTTCACAACGTTCTTCCACCACAGTCACCAATAAAGTGAGTTATTGCAGGTTTAAGAACTCAGTTATCAACAAAAAGGACTTCATGAGAAGGAGATTGTTTTGCAGTGTTCACCATCACCACTGGTTATGAAGCCTAGGATGCTAAATACCAGTATAATCTAGCATTAGCAGAACTTTGTATATTCTGCTCATATAACAGTAGCCAAAGCTGGAGGCAGAGGAAGCATAGAGGAAGATCTGCTGATGGTGCAGACTCGGTTTCGTTTGGAGGATCATCCCCGTAGGTCTCCCCTATGCCAGTCTCCTCCCCACCACCTGCACCTGCAGCCCTGCATGTTAGCCATATGTCTTCATGGTCTTTAAGGTCTTCAAGACTAATGTTTTCTATAAATAGATTTTGGCTGACAAGGCAGAAAGGCTTTCTTTTATGGAATTTTGTATTGATTTTTTTTTTTCATTTGGAAATGCAGCTGAATAAAATTTGCTGAAATACCCTTTTAGTGATGTTGACTAATTGGACTTAAATAGCTAGTAACTGCAGTACTGTTCTGCCAAATTCCAAAATCATGTGATATACTAGTTTGCTGTTTTTGTACCATTTCTTGTTCCTGAAATACAGAAAAGAAAAAAATATATAGTAAGCTTCTCCTACAAGTGTGAGTGTGTTGTGCCATCTCATTTCGAAAATACTAAAGTCCTTGGTCTGTGTAAAATAACAATAAATCAACCAAAAAGTATACAACACTGTTACACATTACCTGGAGCCGGAATATTTGTTTACAGGCTTCATCTAAAGCGTTTTAATGACCGTGTCTGCCAGAACCTGTGATCTGTAGAGTCTCTCAGGATCCTCTCCATCTGGGTGTCCTCCAGGTGGCCATGTTGGCAGCTTCCCATCATCCAGACTGTTCATCACAGCGAGGTGGATGGTGCCAGTCCAACATGACGACCTAAAACACGCTCCCTACTCTCTTGAAAGATATCAAAAGGTTCTGCTCTATTTAAAGCTGTAAATAACATATGGTTACTGAGCTAATCATCATGTAATGGATGGTATGAATTTTGTCTTCTTCTATGATATTTATTTTTAGTCAAGAGGCACATGAAGAGTTAGTAATATAACCATTTTGGGTGGATTTTGTTTTTGTGTTACTTTTCAGATGTCTTTGTAATGTCAAGAGTCGCTCATAGTGCTGAACCCACATTGAATTATTAACCACTCTGCACCTCTACTGAGCTTTTAAGACGCTTTTATCTCTTTTTTGTTTTGGTTTTAAGGCAGATTTACTATAGAGTTCAGTCTCAGTGCAGTAATATAAGGGTCCAGCATTCGTCACACAACGTAGTTCATACAAAGTGTCCAAACACATGTAAAGGCAAAACTGTTTATACTGAAGGACCACGCTCGAAGGCAGAGTTTCATCAAAGACGTGTGAATTGAGGTGGGAATAAGAGCACACATAATCAGACAGTCGGTACTCAAAGACTTAAATGTTGTTTCACTAGGTTGTACACATGAAATCTAGCTCCTCTCTCACTTACACACAGTCATGGCATAAAGTCGGAAAGTTTCAGACACATCAAACAGAAAAAAGTTCAAAAGTTCAAAGTTGAAAAATGTGATATGGAAATGTTACATATTACATATTATATCTTTAAACTGTAACTAAATTCGGGTTTATTTTCACCTTCAGCGGTGGATGGCCTGGATGTCTTTGCTTGTGATTTATCATCCTGACAATAAACACACTCCTCTCATCTTCCAGACTGGGCCTTTACAGGAGTGACATTACCCACAATGCCTTGCAGGCTGTGTCAACAATGGTTGAGTTGTGGCTGGAGCAACAAATGCTGTGATTCCGGGTAACCTGAGTGTTTGTGCGGAGGTAGAGACTGCATCAATTTAAATTACAGAGAGAGAGAGAGAGAGAGAGAGAGAGAGAGACTATAAAGTACCTGTTTATGATCCAACACGCCCTTGCCCTTTTCTTACAGACATCAGCTGAATTGATGGTCTTCTTGAGTACGTGTGTGCGCGCGTGCGTGAATGTCCTACAGAAGATTTATTGCATTCACCAGTATTAAGAAAAAGAGGGACACCATCAATAAACTCACACCAGCACACACACAAATCCAAGTACACACAGTGTGCACACATCACGTAACAACACACGTCCAGGAACATACTGTACCTGCGCGCACACACACACAACTGCACGTTTGTACCTTGAAACTGTCCGGTGTTACACTGAGAGCCAGGGCTCATGGAGAGACTGTGACAGGAGTGATAACTCTGCCAAGGCCTGGCTCACACTGTGTGTGTGTGTGTGTGTGTGTGTGTGTGAGTGAGTGTGTGCGGTCAAGTTAAGCTATTCTTATGAGGCTCGACTCTTGACGGTGCACTGGTCTTGTGAGGCTGTTATGAGATTTCTGGGACATCCCCACTGAGAATAATCCTGAATTTATGGTTAAAATAGGTATATACATGGAGTCTTTGGTTTGAATATTTAATTAAAGATCCTTTAGCTTCAAGAAAAAGCTGACACAAGATGATACTGAATATATACAGTGTGGTATCAGATAGAGCAAACCCTCACCACCACCTTAAAGCTGCTTCAGGGGAAATCCAGTTTGTAGGATTTAGTGACATCTAGCTGTGTAGTTCTAGATTGAAACTACCTCGCTTGACCTTCATCTTCCAGATGTGAAGGAGGAACTATGGTGGCCAAGAACGCCCCATCTAGAGCCAGCTTTTTGTTTGTCCCTTCAGGACTAAGGTAAGATAAGATATACTTCCCCACACTGGGGAAATTCACTACTATACAAACATGGCGGTTCAAGATGGCGTACACCATAGTGACCCACAGTGTCTATAGATAAAAAAGGTTCATTCTAAGCTAACAAAAACATAATGATTCCTATTTTTTCTCCCCTCCCATCTCTTATGGCTTGTGAGGTGACACCAGGTTACAGAAAAAGTTGAGAAAACCAGCAGAGAAGCAGAGACAAATAGTTCTTAACAATTATCCTGTTGCTGTCCTTATTCCTATTCTGCTACATGTAACCATGGAGGAGTCACTGCACTGACAGGCTTTAATGTGGGTGAGCTAACTATAAAACTCTGTGGCATCAAGTGTTCCTCCTTACTAAGTTCAGATACTCTACGACTGCTAAACTGAAGCACATGTGGCAGAAAATGGAGGAATCATCCTGTAAACTCAAGTTCTGTCTCGCTGCTTCGTCAAATATTATTTTGGTCGTGGATTTTCTCTATATTTTGTTGTCTTTTAAAGGACTGAACAGTGCCCCATAAATAGTTGTTATTACTATTTTAATGGCCAAGATAACAGAATATGGAGTAAGGTTGAAATTAAAACAATAAAAACATAATTTCAAGCCTAAATTCACTAAGTTGAATTCACTTAGTTTAAGTCTTGTTCACTCTTATCATAATTGATGCCATTTGAAAGAGGAAGGGGTTGATCTTACAAACAACTGGGATGTTGTTTGCTAGTTATTCAATTCTTTTTAATCATTGCTGTTTAATCTTTAGCACTTATTCAGAACATATATCTGCCCATCTGAGAAGTAGAAGTAAAGATCTTTGAATACACTATATATACACACACATATATATATTAAGTATACTCAAAGATGATATGCAGACTTTTCTAATTTTAATGCAGTTCAAGTACACTATTGTTCCACCATGCAATGCACAAAGGAACACTGCAAATAAATTTAATCGTGGATGGTGAAAAAAAAATTGAAAACCCCCCAAAAAGTATTAAACTTTTTTTTTCTTTATCTTGAAATAGTAAAATAACAATATAGAATTAGTAGGAATGAAGAATTGGGACACAGCTTGGGACATTGTTTTGTCGGATTTGTGGACTGAGCTGCAAGGTTGCAGGAAATCATTTGTACTTCATGAAAGGAAATTGATTAAAGGTATTCGTCTTCAGATTATGTTACAGGAAAGAACAGAAGCACAAACATCAACTGGAGTGAAATAAACAGGCAGATAATGTTTTCTCCCATGTACAAAAATGTTGGACATAAGGAGGTTTGGACATTGAGTTTGTCCCAATGATAACACTTACTAATATGATTATTATTTTTATGTACTTTAATTAATGTAGATGCTCATAATTGCAGAAAAAGAGGTGACATTTTTTCAATAATAATTTTCATCCTACAACAGGAGAGCAGATGACAGCTCAGCAGCACTGACTGAAGTGGGAAAAGGGAGAGAGGAAAGACATGAATGTGAAGGAGAGAGGCTGGTGGCATTTATAATCAGTGTGACGCACAAGGTGGACTCCTTTCTGTGTGTGTGTGTTATTCATAGGTCCAATTGGCGTCATCAGCTCTAAGCAACCCACTGCTATTTCAGAAAATCACGCTGTGATGCAACATGTTAACCATCAGCACGCGTCATGGCCTACACCCAACTACACACCGAGTTGTTACACTCTGTGTGTGTGTGTGTGTGCTAATTCACATTGTGAATAAACCTTTTCTTCTTTCAGCTGAGCTGCTTACAGTAGTTATTTATTCTATTTACTTTTCTTTCTTGATTTTATAATATACATTCTTGTCTTGTGTTTACATTTTTAGCACATTTTCCTGGCTTTTATTTTCCTTTCTTGTTTTCACTGTTCATTCATTCATTTAGTGCGTGCCACTTGTTTTTATGCACATTTTCAGTTTCTTCATCAAAAAACATGAGTGAAATCACCAGGAAACCAGGAAACAACAGTTAATAGGTATTTTCACTTGGTTGAGGTGGAAAAGTCGGTGTGAATGTGGCACAATATGTCGATTTTTGAATAGAATAATTTCTGGGATAGAATATAAGTTTAAAGTGTAAAGTGTTTTTTATGTGTTTCCAATGTGTTTATGGAAAGAAAAGTGTTCATATTAGTCAGAATTTAGGGTATAAAGTGATTAATCACCAGTGTCATTGTTAGACAGTAGTACCAGCATTTAATGTTTACGTCCTTCGCTCATAGTACTGTATATGACTGTTATTGTTATTGCTGTATGTGTTTTCTGGAATAATAACAATAAGAAATATGGTGTTATGCTGAACACAGATCATTAGTATGGAAATGGTTGAGACATCTTACCCTCAAAGGAGTTTTAAAGGAGCTGTAATCTTTCATTTTTGTGCAAATTTAGTATTTTGTTATTGTTTATTTTGAGTGAATAAAGACAAAAATTGTTTGTTGTTGTTTCTTTTATGCTGTGTGTATGCCTAATTCTGTGTATGTGCATTGACACAGGGCCAATAAAAGTAATTCTTATCAATAAAAGCAACAACGTGCAATGGAATGGAAAGAATTAGGACGTGCGTGAAGCGTGTGACTGAAAAGATGAAAACATCAGACTGTAACCCTCCTCACATTAATACATAACACAAACATAAATGCTATCACACAGCTGCTTACATTTGAGGTTTGACTGATGTTATTTCAGTTACATTATCTGCACTACATTGTCATTTTCTTCTACTTCCTTTGCTCTGACCTCCTCCATGTTTTTTATGTTGGTGATTGGGCAATTAAAGCTTATTCTGCTGTTGAACGTCCTTCACTCTGAACAAAGGTGGCTGTATGTACAGTTACAGTCAGAAAATGGTGAACCCAGATTGAGATCAAGTACTTTTATTTCATCATTAGCTCGTCATTATGTCCTGGTAATCATTTCAACAGCCAGATTTTCAGCATGAGCACATGATGATGATCACTGATGTGCTTTTATTTAACCTTAATATTACAATACTGTGTGGGTGAGTGTCTTTGCACAAGTTAATTAAAAGCACACATATAAGAAATTTGAAAGTAAGCTTTTACATAAAAAGATTTGTCACTCTCTCTGTTGACTTAAATTCAGAGCAATGCAACATCATATGGCATCAATTCAACAAGCAATTAAATATACATAAAAACCGAATGGAGAGGATACAAAATAACAGAATATAAGAAATAGTTAATGGTTAAAATTCATGAAATAGTTAAGAGATTCTTCTCCTCCTACCTTTTCCTAGAAGATTCTGAGTACAGAAAAACTCCTATAAAAGTTGGACTGACTGTGCCAAACCAATTGGAATCTATCCGTCTCCATGTTACATGCAGATCGCTTATTTTCCCTCAAGTGATGCCAGAAATGTCGATGCCAAGTGTGTCTCAACATGTTTTCAGCGTGTTTTCTGAGCTTCAAAGCGCCACTGCAGGAACTCCCAGAGTCACCAAACCCCATAAAAACACTGTAAAACTGCTACGAGTAGCAATTCAGAAAGGGGTGTTTTTCTGGTTTTGGTGCAATTACGACTTAAAAAATACATGCGGGGGAAAAAAAAGCAGTTTAGTTGAGCTTGAGCCTACGCTTGGTAGTGTTATTTTAACCCCTTCATAAAGCACTTTATGTGTGGTTAGTTGATGAGGCTTACTGGAAACACTTTGGCAGGACAGAGTCACTTAGAGGAAAAGGATTCTCTTCTCTGATGTTGTGGGAGTTTGGTCAATTTGTGTTTTAACGGAGTACTCAGGCAATTTGTTTTTGTTTGTTTTTTCAGTATAGCTAAGCTGCAAAAATATGTCATCCTACACTTCCCATAATGTCCAATAGTGTGTTTTTATTGGGCCTTTTTTTCCCTGATAAATAAATAAAAACTTCTCACCCCTCTGTTTGCAACACACATGCTTCAAATTTGTGTTCTCCGAGCTGAGATAATTAGGGCGATATTATCAGGAATATTTCTCAGACTTGACAAAACATCTCCAGAGACATTATATACACCTGAGTTGTAAACTCACCATAATGTTTATTATGTGCCCCATTAACTAATATGTGACGAGGCTTGGGAGTAACTCCACACTAGGTTTTGGGGGGAGGAAAACAAAGCTGTACTGGCCTCTAAGGACTGAAAGTCTCACCTTGAGCACTAAAGGTATTGTTGAATTTGCTTTCCTTTTAAAAAAACATTTGCAAAATTTGTACATTGTTTACTTCTTATCTTGCAGTCCTTTTCTGTTCCTTTGCTGCATGTTACTAACTATCTGTGGAACAGCCTAAAACCGTCTGCAAAAATATACCACATTGCTGCATGGTCATGTGCATCCTCGTGTGCTATGATACAAACAGGGACCCCCAGATCTACCTTAAAGGGGAACTGCCAATTTTACACATCAAAGAATGTTTCCAGATTCTGGTAAGTACTGTATATGTAAAAAAAAAAAGTGTATTAAGTCTTCTGTGGCTCAAGAGGGAGCAGCACGAATAATTTTGCCTCAAGTGATGTCACCTGAGTCAACACCAGTTGGGGCTGAAGATTAGTTTAGAAGTTTGAAAATGAGAGGGAAAAAAATCTGTTGGTGTGGACTAGAGTTAGAAAGTAAGCCTCTAACCAGACCTCTTCAGCTGCTGCTCATCTCTGCTGCAGGGTGCCAATAAACTGTTAGCTGTCTGCATTAAGTTGCACTATGGGTAATATTGGTGCCGGGTTTTGACAAGGAAGAACAATGCCAATGCATGGGAATAAAAACGCATGAAAATCTCCTCGGTTACCCTGCTCAATTTTGACCCAGTCCCATCATGAGAATATTTTAGAGTAACCCTTTAGGGCAATTAGCATTCATTAAGCGTAAAGACAGGTCATTCGGTAAAGGAAATGATTGGCAGTACATGAAGTGTTTTTGGCTCTTAAACAAATGTTAGGACATGCTAACAAGTTAAAATTATAATTGGTAACATGGTAAATGGACCTGTACTTGTATTCGTGCCTTCTCTAGTCTTCCGACGCCACCTCAAAGCGCTTTTTACAACTACGTGCCACATTCACCTTTCACAACATTCACACAGCTATGGCAAAAGTCCATCGGAACAGAAACTAAAAACTCATTCACACAGCATTCACACACCGGGGGAGCAATTGGGGGTTCAGACTTGGCTCCAAAGGATACTTCGACACGTGGCAGGGAGGGCCGGGGATCAACCCAACAACCCTTCTGGATTTGGTGGGACGACCCACACCCACTCTCCTCCTGGAGCCACAGCCCGCCCATCATTTTTTAACATTTTCATTGCGAGCCATTCGATGTTGTATTGGATGGTGTGTAGCATTACGCCTTAGCACCGCTACAGCGAACCAGGTAGCCATGGCCTGTATGCAAATGGCTCCAAATAAGCTTCTGTTTTGCACGACTTTCCTTTC